GGACAACCTGGAAGAAATGGACAAATTCTTAGAAAGGTATAACCTTTCAAGACTGAACCAGGAAGAAATAGAAAATATGAACAGACCAATCACAAGTAATGAAATTGAAACTGTGATTAAAAATTTTCCAACAAACAAAAGTCCAGGACCAGACGGCTTCACAGATGAATTCTACCAAACTTTTAGAGAACAGCTAACACCCATCCTTCTCAAACTCTTCCAAAAAATTGCAGAGGAAGGAACACTCCCAAACTCATTCTATGAGGCCACCATCACCCTGATACCAAAACCAGACAAAGATACTACAAAAAAGGAAAATTACAGACCAATATCACTGATGAATATAGATGCAAAAATACTCAACAAATTACTAGCAAACAGAATCCAACATATTAAAAGGATCATATACCATGATCAAGTGGGTTTTATCCCAGGGATGCAAGGATTCTTCAATATACTCAAATCAATCAATGTGATACACCATATTAACAAACTGAAAAAGAAAAACCATATGATCATCTCAATAGATGCAGAAAAAGCTTTTGACAAAATTCAACACCCATTTATGATAAAAACTCCCCAGAAACTGGGCATAGAGGGAACCTACCTCAACAAAATAAAGGCCATATATGACAAACCCACAGCAAACATCATTCTCAATGGTGAAAAAATGAAAGCATTTCCTCTAAGATCAGGAACAAGACAAGGATGTCCACTCTCACCACTATTATTCAATATAGCTTTGGAAGTCCTAGCCATGGCAATCAGAGAAGAAAAAGAAATAAAAGGAATCCAAATTGGAAAAGAAGAAGTAAAACTGTCACTGTTTGCAGATGACATACTATATACATAGAGAATCCTAAAGATGCCACCAGAAAACTACCAGAGCTAATCAATGAATTTGGTAAAGTTGCAGAATACAAAATTAATGCACAGAAATCTCTGGCATTCCTATACACTAATGATGAAAAATCTGAAAGAGAAATTAAGGAAACACTCCCATTTACCACTGCAACAAAAAGAATAAAATACCTAGGAATAAACCTACCTAGGGAGACAAAAGTCCTGTATGCAGAAAACTATAAGACACTGATGAAAGAAATTAAAGCTGATACCAACAGATGGAGAGACAGACCATGTTCTTGGATTGGAAGAATCAATATTGTGAAAATGACTATACTACCCAAAGGAATCTACAGATTCAATGCAATCCCCATCAAATTACCAATGGCATTTTTTACAGAACTAGAACAAAAAATCTTAAAATTTGTATGGAGACACTAAAGACCCCGAATAGCCAAAGCAAACTTGAGGGAAAAAAACGGAGCTGGAGGAATCAGACTCCCTGACTTCAGACTATACTATAAAGCTACAGTAATCAAGACAATATGGTACAGGCACAGAAACAGAAATATAGATCAATGGAACAAGATAGAAAGCCCAGAGATAAACCCACGCACGTACGGTCAACTAATCTATGACAAAGGAGGCAAGGATATACAATGGAGAAAAGACAGTCTCTTCAATAAGTGGTGCTGGGAAAACTAGACAGCTACATGTAGAACAATGAAATTAGAACACTCCCTAACACCATACACAAAAATAAACTCAAAATGGATTAGAGACCTAAAGGTAAGACCAGACACTATAAAACTCTTAGAGGAAAACATAGGAAGAACACTCTTTGACATAAATCACAGCAAGATCTTTTTTGATCCACCTCCTAGAGTAATGGAAATAAAACCAAAAATAAACAAGTGGGACCTAATGAAACTGAAAAGCTTTTGAACAGCAAAGGAAACCGTAAACAAGACAAAAAGACAACCCTCAAAATGGGAGAAAATATTTGCAAACGAATCAATGGACAAAGGATTAATCTCCAAAATATATAAATAACTCATGCAGCTCAATATTACAAAAACAACTAACCCAATCCAAAAATGGGCAGAAGACCTAAATAGACATTTCTCCAAAGAAGACATACAGATGGCCAAGAAGCACATGAAAAGCTGCTCAACATCACTAATTATTAGAGAAATGCAAATCAAAACTACAATGCAGTATCACCTCATACCAGTTAGAATGAGCATCATCAGAAAATCTACAAACAACAAATGCTCGAGAGGGTGTGGAGAAAAGGGAACCCTCTTGCACTGTGGGTGGGAATGTCAATTGATACAGCCACTATGGAGAACAGTATGGAGGTTCCTCAAAAAACTACAAATAGAACTACCATATGACCCAGCAATCCCACTACTGGGCATATACCCTGAGAAAACCATAATTCAAAAAGAGTCATGTACCAAAATGTTCATTGCAGCTCTATTTACAATAGCCCGGAGATGGAAACAACCTACGTGTCCATTATGGGATGAATGGATAAAGAAGATGTGGCACATATATACAATGGAATATTACTCAGCCATAAAAAGAAACGAAATTGAGCTATTTGTAGTGAGGTGGATGGACCTAGAGTCTGTCATAAAGAGTGAAGTAAGTCAGAAAGAGAAAGACAAATACAGTATGCTAACACATATATATGGAATTTAGGAAAAAGAAATGTCATGAAGAACCTAGGGGTAAGACAGGAATAAAGACATAGACCTACTAGAGAATGGACTTGAGGATATGGGGAGGGGGAAGGGTAAGCTGTGACAAAGCGAGAGAGTGGCATTGACATATATACACTACCAAATGTAAAATAGATAGCTAGTGGGAAGCAGCCACATAGCTCAGGGAGATCAGCTCGGTGCTTTGTGACCACCTAAGAGGGGTGGGATAGGGAGGGTGGGAGGGAGGGAGATGCAAGAGCGAAGAGATATGGGAACATATGTATATGTATAACTGATTCACTTTGTTATAAAGCAGAAACTAACACACCATTGTAAAGCAATTATACTCCAATAAAGATGTAAAAAAAAAAAAAAACCTAAATAAAATATTATCTAACATAATCCAGCAATGTACAAAGTAATAATACCTAGTGTCCAAGTAGGAGTTATCCCAGGCAACCAAGGAAATTTTAACATTAGAAAATGTGTTCATTTTCACACAATATCAATAATTCACAGTATCAATTTCAGGAGGAAATAATGACCATTTTGATAAATGCAGGAAAATCATTTGATAAATTCAACAGGCAATTATAATATTTTTAATCTTGGCAAATTAGAACAGAAACTTTTTCAACCTGACAAGATACCTATCCAAAACCCACAGCAAATATCATAGTTAATGATGCAATATTAAATATGTTCATTGTAATGTTCAAAATGAGATTTTTTAAATGCCTGGGTTTGCCTCTTCCATAACACTGGACTAGAATCCAATTGTATAAAGAAGAAGAAATAAGACATTTAAAGATTACAAAGGCAGAAATGAAATTATCGTTATCCCAGACAATACAATTTTCTACAAAGAAAATGAAGAAAAGTTATAAACAAATCATCTGAGTTAATAATGGTTGCAAGTCAAAGATCAATATTAAAAAATCAATTGTGTTCCTTGTATCAATCACAACTGGTTAAAAAAGTATCTTAAAAAGAATCTCATTCACAATAGCAACATATATGTGAAATGCCTATGAATAAATCTAATAAAAAAAGCACAAGTACTTTATCAGAAAAAAATTATAAATCTTTATTTTAAAAAAACAGATAAGGAAACCTGAGTAAACAGGGAGCTATATTTTGAATACAGTTAAGAAATTCAAAAATATTTATCCCCAACAACCTAAATTTAATGTAATTTCTATTAAAAGTCAAACAAAGTGAGGTTTTCTTTCCCCTATTTGGATATTATTAAGTTGATCCTAAAATTTACAGAAAGAATAAAAGACTAAGAGTCACCAAGAAAATACTGCAGAATAAGAATGAGGATATGGTAATCACTATACCAAATATCAAGACTGGCTATAAGTTGTAGATATGTAGATAATGTAGTGTTGGTGAAGATAAACAGACAAATGGATCAACAGAATAGGACAGAAAGTCTAGGAACATCCCAGGCATCTAAAAGAGTTTGAAAACAGATATTATAGAGAGTTTGATGACTGATATGGCATTGTAAATCAGTACAGACCAAATACTGACAAAAAAAGATAACGATAGATGTCTACCTCATACTACACCACATATAAATTTAATAAAGAGTAAATAGCCAAATTCTAAAAAGCGAAATTCTAAAACTTCTATAGAAAATTGTGGGAAAATATCTCTACGGCATATGGGCAGGAATAGTATTAACATTTGTTAAATAAGACACAAAACAAAAAGTAAATGAAAAGAATGACAAAATCAGCCTCCTTAAAAAAATTTTTTTTCAGATGTGTTTTCAGGCTTAAAAACTATTTAGTCAAAGAAACACACTTAACAAAACAGTAAAATTTTATTTTAAATGATAAAAATTGGTTCAACCCTTCAGAAAAATAATATGACACTACCTATTTAAAATCTCAGCAATCTATTCATTCCTGAGAGTCAGCTAGAATTTTATCCAAGGGATATAGCTAAAAGAAAGAAGAAAACAAATTAAAGCATACAGAAATTTTCATTATTTAAAATATCAAAATATGAGAAAGATAGGAGGAGAATGAGCCAAGTATCCTTCATCAACTCAATGAAATATTATGCAACCAAAAAATAGGTAATTTAAGACTCAGCCTCCTTAAAATTAAAAGTTTTATATGACAAAAGACACCATTAAGAAAGTTTAAATACTAGACATAAATGGGAGAAATTATCTGTAGTACACAAAAACAAAAAAAGGATTAGTCCAGAGTATGTTTCTAAAAATACACACAATCCAATAAAAAACTGCAATTTCTACAATGTAAAGGAACCCCAATACCAATAAAAATATAAAAATAATCAAATCACAAGTTATCAGAGAAACAAAAAAAATTTTAATGAGACATTGCATACCCCAAAAATAGTCAATCAGTAAATTATGACAGTAATATGGAGAAACACAAAATCTAATTGCCACGGGGAATATATGAATTAACACTTTGAAGAGCAAATAAGCAAGATCAGGTAAAGTTAATCCCTTAATTCCACTTCCAGGTATGGACTCAACGAAAGGATGAAGAAAAAGCTAGTCTATGCTACCATCTAGTGGCCTCAGAATATAATAGAAAATACAATACCTTCAGCAGTGTTTACAAAGGACTTCTCAAAGTACCTGCACAGGGGTGCAGCAACAACTTATAAATGTGCAGAGTTTATATATGCAGTAACTTCCCTCACTGCCCTTTTGGGCCAGTATATGACTCCATCTATCCTTCTTCCTTTTGCAGATTTGCATGAACCTAACTAACCTTGTGACAAAACCAAGTAGAAATATCTTCAGGCAGAGTGTTTCTCATGTCTATCTTATATAATTTCCAACACCCTTCAAATGATATCCATTGTTATGTGAGGTTGAAAGAATGCTTCTCCAAACTAACCAGATTAGATTGCATTGACAAGAATATGGTGCAAAAGGGGCCCTCATACACTTCTGTTAAGGTACAAATTCGGAAAATTAGCAAAGATGAATATATATCCCAAAATCAAACCAATAATTTTTTTATTAAACAAAAAAAATTACAAAAAAGATAAATATGTGTATAAACTATGACACAAAAATTCCTCTCCTGGATACATTCTCTAATCATGGTTCTTAACCCCAAAGGACATCTAAGAATCTAAAAGTTTCATATATTGAAAATGGATAAGTTCCCGAGATCAGCTGTACAAATTGTGCTATAGTTAACAATACTGTAGTGTACACTTCAAGTCTTGTTAAGCGGGGTTATATCTTGTTAGTTTTTACCGCAATAAAAAAATAAAACAAAACCTTCTTGGAGTGGCCAAAAGCATCCAGAAAATGAAATGGGAGCAGTCAACATTTATAAGAAGCAATGGCACTGGGAGAGTTTCCCTTTTAATGATTTTAAGATAAGGGAAGGACAGTCACCACCACTACAAGGTGCCTAAAATTCAGATGGAAAACTTCAATCTTACTGACTTGAAGAAACAGAGGACAGAGTTCAGGAAGACCACAGCAGCTGAAAATCTAGAAAAGAAAACCACAGTCAAATACAGCCAGAGAGTGGGAGCCCCAAATTTCTATATAAACTCTGCCCAAATACTGGCTGATCCCTAAACTACACATAAGAAGAGTTAAGGCTAAAAGACCTGAACAGAGATTTCAGTTGCTGCCCACCTCAGAGAAGACAACTTTGAAATCTGAGTCCTGTCAAAGTACTGCCTGCTAAAGCAAAACATCAATACTTGTGGAAAATTCCGTTTCCGCAAATAGTCACAGAAATATTTTTACTCCAACAGGCTCTTCTGAAACCTTGCTAGTCCCCTGATCAAGAGGCAGAGTCTTTTTCACCTTTGTGCATCCCGCAACACTGAGTAAATACACCTGGCATCAAAAATGAGCAGAGAGCCTGGCACATATTTGGATCTTAAAATACAAATACAACTGTGATCTTCTAACAAAGGCCAACATAATTCTGGAGTGCTGGAAGAATATAAGTGTGGATGGAGCTAAAACACTAAGATATGGAAGTGCACAGCAGGGTCAGGGGACAGAAAGTCAATAGAAGATAAATGGAGTGAGAGGGGACAGTTGGGAAGAAATGGCAGGAGGGTATTGGACATTCCTTGAGGCTGTGCATCGACAGCTTTGGTTACCACACCCTTATATCTGCTTCACCTGAAAAAGAAAAACTGTGCATCACACTGATCTTCCATTCTATAAAATGGGCTTTGTGATACATTCTGACAATGAGAACTGGCTTTTACTCACAGGGAATAAAATGAAGGGAGTCTCTGATCTCAGTCCTCCAGCCTTCAAAAAGCAAAAAAAGAAAAAGTGAAAAGTTGCTGAGAATCCAGCAAAAAACTGTTTCTTTTCCATTCTTACATGCTTTTTCCTATTTACCATTTAAAGATTATTATGAAATTAATTAAAATTACCTAGTAAAATGATATGGGAAAATACACTATACTGTTAATTATAAAAAAAGCAGGTAGTAAATCAAGAAATACAGTGTGCTCTTGGGTGTGTAAATATAGTATATAAATAGATATATATAAAAATATTAATATTTATTCTATAATTATGAATGACTTTCATTTCTTCCTTTGGGTTTTCCTGAGCTTCTCAAATTTTCTATACTGAATATGTATTATTGGTATAACCAGGGAAATAATAATTCAGAGGAGAAGGGAAATTAATGTTAGTAAGTTAAGTACAATCAGTTCTTTGAGACATCAACCCTAATGTATCTAAAAGTTACTACCTTCTATATTATTTAAAGATTCAACTTGAAATTACTTCTGGGATTATAGAGTCTCTTAGAAGAAAACAAAGGAGGATTTAAATTGGCTATCAGAACCACTGTGGGGCCTCTGGAAATATTTAGGGCTCAGAGGTAGGAAAGTATTTATGTGACATGTTAGTTTACTATTGCATACAAATTTATAACATGACATTCTGTTGTGCAGAAAGCTTTATTTCTTCTTCTCCTTCACCATTACTAACAGTTGTCTGTGATTGTGGGATACTTGACTGTGAGCCCTAGAGCATGGCTATAGCTCTAGAAGGAAAACTAAGAAGTCATTCACTGAGGAGGAGCAGCAGCTGTCACAAGAAGTTAGGGAAACACTGATGAAAAAGAAAGAATGTTTTCCTTGTTTTGAAAACTGAAATCCCAATTAGCCATGCTATCTATACTGCAACTGGTGAAGTTGAGGATCCTATACTGAAGATTTAGTAGGGAACATAAGGACAAAGTTGAGAAGAGATATTTCCAGAAAGGAAAAGATGAATGGGAACTGGGAATTATGAATAATTTATTTTATTTTTAAAGTGCTGAATACAACAACAAAAAACTACCAGGAAGAAAAGAAAATACCATGGATATACATGAACATAATTTAAATGAGTCACTGTCTTTTGTCATGGAAAATGAAAGAATACCAGCCTAGGGGTACAGATTAAACTAACATGTATAGTGCATACAATATATACCACAAACTTTCAGGTATGTTACACCAATCCTCAAAATAACCCTAGACATAGGTACATTACCCACATTTTAAATGACACATCATGCTGAGAGATAGTGTTTTGCCCAAGTCTGTACAGCCAATACGCCAAGGAGCTAAGACTGAAGTTTAGGTCCTCCAAGCCAAGTGCTTTCCAATAATATGTAGTGCTTCTCTTTATCAGCAGTTAAGGCGACAATGGAGTAAGAGAACTGAGGCACAGTAGGCTTCCAGAGACACAGGACAGTTTGATACAATGTTTTTGTAAAATATTCCATAATATTTTCATATTAAAACATGCTATATGGCACAGAAATTATTTCTTAAAAGTATAAAATAACTCTCATAAAAAAGACTTCTATTCCTCTAGTCATGGTGACTGGTATAGTATAGCAACTGACCTGAGTCAAGGTAATCAGGCTCAATCCCAGAAGTGCTACCCCAGTGTCAGCAAAAAGGGTGCTCTTTGTGCAATGATCTCTAAACTGGAAGAATGTAAACCCAGAGCTCCTGATGGTCATCTTTGCCAATATGTGGCAGAATCTAACCAAGGAGATTAGAGCTGAGATAGAGAATGTGCCTGATGATGTCATTTTAACTCCTGAACCCAGCTATGGCTAAAATCAGAGTCGCCTGTGTTCATTTTATTTGAATCAAATCAGTATTTTATGCAAAACTAATTTTAGTTGGGTTTTACCACTTACAACCATATAAATCCTAATTAATATCTCCCCTTACCTCACATCTCCCTCTATCTACTCACATTTTTGAGGCTAAAAATAAGTAAATAAAAGTAAAGTAAAAGTAAAAATAAGTAAATTTCTGGTATGAAGAACTAGAGCACAAAGTTTGAGGCAGGCACAACCAATTTAAACTGGCAAGAGGACAGCAAAAATAACACTCAGTGGTAAACAACTAAAAGCTTTTCCTCTGAGAACTGGAACCTGACAAAGACGCCCACTCTCATCACTTCTATTCAATATAGTATTTGAAGTCCTAGCCAGAGCAAGGAAAAGGAATAACAATCATCCAAATAAGAAAGGAAGAATTAAAATTATCTCTGTTTGCAAATGAAATGACCTTATGTGGCGAACACTCTAGACTCCACACACCAAAACAAACTGTTAGAACATAATAAGCAAACTCAGCGAAGTTGCAGGATACAAAATCAATGTAAAAAAAAATCAGTATGTTTCTATACACTAATTATCTAAAAATAAATTTAAAAAACAATCCCACTCACAATAGCAACAAAAAATAAAATACTTAGGAATAAACTTAATCAAAGTGGTGAAAAACTTGTATACTGAAAACTATAAAATGCTGATGAAAGAAATTAAAGCAGACAGGAATAAATGGAAAGACATTCCATATTCATGGATGGGAAGAATTAATATTGTTAAAATGTCCATACTACCCAAAGTTCCTACATATTCAATGCAATCTCTATCTAAATTCCAACAGAGTTTTTACAGAAATAGAAAAACAATTCTAAAATTAATATGGAACCACAGAAGAACCCAAATAGCCAAAGCAATCTTGAGCAAGAAGAACAAAGCAGAAGATATCATACTTCCTGATTTCAAATTATATTTCAAAGCTATATAATCAAAACTTTATGGTGCTGGCATAAAAACAAACATATGGACCAAGTGAACAGAATAAAGAGCCCAGAAATACACATACTTACATGCACATGTACAGTCAACTGATTGACAAGGGTGTCAACATACACAATGGGGAAAGGATAGTCTCTTCAACAAGTGATTGGATATCCACATGCAGAAGAATCAAATTGAATGCTTATCTTATACCACATACCATATATAAAATTCAACTCAAAATGGATTAAAGACTTAAACCTAATACCTGAAACCATAAAACTCCTAGAAGAAAACACAGGGAAAAATCTTCCAGATATCAGCCTTGGCAATGATTTTTTGGATATGACTACAAAAGCACAGGCAACCAAAGCAAAAAATAGACAAGAGGTATTATATCAAACTAAAAACCTTCCGCATAGCAAAGGAAACAATCAACAAAATGAAAAGGCCACCTGTGGAATGGTAGAAAATCTTTGCAAACCACATATTTGATAAAGGATTAATTGCAACTCAATAGCAAAAAATAACAATAATCTAATTAAAAACTGGGCAAAGGAACTGAATAGCATTTCTCCAAAGAAGATATACAACAGATGAAAAAGTGCTCAACAACACTAATCAACAGGGAAATGCAAATTAAAACTACAAGATATCACCTCACACATGTGACAATGGCTATTATCAGGAGAAAAAAAGATAACCTGTTGGGAAGGATGTGGAGAAAAGGGAAACATTGTACATTGTTGGTGGGTATGTAAATTTATGCATCCACTATGAAAAAAGTATGGAGGTTCCTCAAAACACTAAAAATAGAAGTAACATATGATCCAGCAATCCCACATCTGGGTATATATCCAAAGGAATTGAAGTTTGGATCTCAAAGAGATATCTACACTCCCATGTTCATTGCAACGATTTCACAATAGCCAAGACTTAGAAACCAAAATGCCCATTGATGGATAAATGGATAAATAAAATGTGGTGCTATATAATTAAATGTAATATTATTCAGCCTTTAAAAAGAAGGAAATCCTGCCATTTGCAACAACATGGATTAAACCTGAGGACATTATGCTATGCAAAATAAGCCAGTCAGAGAGGATAAATACATGCTACATGATACAATGTATATGAGGAACCTAAAATAGTCAAACTTATAGAAGCAGAGGGTAGAAGAGGGGTTGCCAGGAGCTAGAGGGAAGGAAAAACAGGAGATATTAATCAAAGGGTACGAAGTTTTGGCTATACAAGATGAGAAAGTCCTAGAGATACACTGACAATAGTGCCAATAGTTAGCAATACTGTATTGTATACTTTGAGTTTTTCTAAGGATAGATCTTATGTTAAGAGTTCTTATCACCAAATAATAATAATAGTAATAAATAAGAGGGTGGGAGGAAATTTTTGGAAGTGATGGATAGGTTTGTGTCATGGATTGTGATGACAGTTTCAACTGGTGTATATTTACCTCCAAACTCACGAAGTTGTATACATGAATTATGTACAGTTGTTTGTATGTCTTAAAAAAAAAAAGAAAATCCAAGAAAAAAAAGAATAAAGAGTATATACTAAAGTTCTAATACAGGTAAGAGTAATCAATGGTGTTTAAAAAAATCACAAAAGTAGTTGCTTTGGGAGAGTTGGGGCAGGGAAAGACTGGGAAGAGGCATAAGGGCACTCTTCTAAGGTTATACTAATATTCTATATCTTGATATGGGGTTAGATTACACAAGTGTATGCATTTGTCAAAAGTAAGTAAATTTTATTTGTGCATTATATAATTCTAGACTTATGACATACTCAAAGAACAAATAATGCTTTGATATTTAAACCTTTGTACTAGAGCCATAAAAATTATATTTTTTAATCCAAATATATCGAAGTCTAAGACATTTAAAGTGTTTTTAAATCAATGTTTAACTGTAATGATTTATAAAACAAAGCAAATCACTTTCTAAAACCAATACTTGATATGCATGTTTATATTAAACAAATTATAATGATAAAGTTAGTGTCCAATAGGGAATCATGGAAGTTAGTCAAGAATGTCTTGATGCTATTTCTATGAGACTATTTATTGTTATTCAGAAATAATGAAGAATAGACTTCTCTTAATGATGAAAAATCCCATTAAATTTTGATATCATGTTATACCTATAATATTTATTTTGTCAAATGTTTAAAAATAAAGAAT